ACGATGACTCTTGTTTCGTGTTTGGGCGAAAGTCAGTCAAAATTATGCTAGCATATAACGGCACATTGCATGGTGAAAAATTCATAAATTTTTTGCCTGCCGATCCGGTCATTTATGACGAATTACTTTACGTAGATGCCTCAAGACAGCAAAGAAGTATTACTTATTCAGCGCTTGCCTTTGTTGAACGAACTCATGCTAAACCACATTAGTCAACGAAAACGATATGCATCCTCTTAATTTTTAACCCACTTTGAGAGTTTCTCGTAGCATTTGTGTTGTATGGCTTGATTTAATACAACAAATAGAGGAACTTTTAAGCCTACTCTATATATTATTACAAATTATTATGAAAAACTGCAATTAGAAATATAAAAATTAAAAAAATTGCAGAAAGACGTGCTCTTTATATCAAAACAAACTAAATATGATTTTCAACATATTGGGAACATATAACTCACAGACATTACTGGTGATGAAGTGCTTAACAATTATAGCAACAGTCAGACAACTGCACAACGTCATTTTCTACTTTCTTGAACACAGTCGTAACCCAAACATTTTTTGGTTCTTCCTGTAATCTCGAAAATGTTAAAGGGGTCAACATGTGTGCCAAAACCACAAAAATAAATAATATATATTATTTGCTGTGCAAATTTCGTTCCTTTTTTCGAACAAATTAATTAACCATTTGTGTTAATTAAGTCATCGGCTACCATACAACCGTACTTCATTATATTCCAATTATTAAAGCAATTACATTATTTAACAGACAATACGTACGCAAATATTTACAACATACAACGCATGTATATGTACATAAGCAGAATATACGTGTGCAACAGCCATAATGGAGTAAACACACATGCGCTCAATAAAAAGTAAATATGTGAATGGACATATAATTATATAAGATAAATATAAATAAAAGCGTAATTGAATAATAATAAATATATGGCAACACACACATACATCAATATACAGACAGTAATGCGCATATTCTTACAAGTGTTGTGATACTTTTGTGGCAAGTTTCTTTTACTGAAAAGTTTGCTTGTATTTGCTTAAATTCTTTTTATTTTATTTTAAAAAGCTTCACAGAAGGATATTTTATTTAATTACTAGTTATGTAATGTAAAAACATTTTCTTTGGTGCTCCATCTCTCCAGCGCTTTCGTATATTCGCATTTGTTTATACCGTAGCCTCAACAAATTGTGAATTGTCGGTTTGTCGATTGGTTGTTTTGGCAATTGAGAATTGTGTGAAAATTTTGGTTTTATCAAATTTTTGTTTTGTGTACAATATTTTGGCGTTTATATTTCTACTTGCTTATTCGCCAAATTTTATGGCACTTATTTATGCGAACTCTTATTTATTAGCCGCAACGCATGAACATCTTGATTTATTTATGCGACAGAATTGCAGTTTATTTTATTTTTGCCTTTAATTCTTAATAAATTTCAATTTTCAATTTTATTAGTTTTCTGCGAATGTTTGCAAACTTTATTTGAATATGCTGATCTTGTGATTTTTTCTTCACATTTATTTTGCATTAAGAGCAGAGATGGTTCTTGATTGTTTTAAATAAAACAAAAAATAATATTTTCAATGATATATAAGAAAGCGGTAATATTTGCTTTATTTTAGGATAATCTTGATATTTTTTCAGCGCTGTCAAAGCGACAGATGTGTTTAATAGTTAGATTCAGTATGCAATGCAAAACCCTATATGGTAGCAACGTTGGAAAATGCTAGATATTTATAACATAAACGGGATATTATATATGTAAATTTCTTCTAGTTTTGAGGTTTTTTATTTGTCTATTGGAGAGCGGTCTGTATAACCACACTCGCTAAACAGCTTGAACGAAATTAAATTAGGTTGCTATCAGACTTTAAGAAACCAGATACATTCAGGATTTCAGAAAGAGACATTTCGAAATCCTCCCTCACTTTAATTATATCTCTAATTACCTGGACCCTATTTTTAATGGTATATTCTCAGTGCACATACCTTCCAGAAATATGTGGGTGAGGTGTAACCGCTGGAGAAAAGGTGCAGTGAAATTTTTCACAGATGGTTCGAGGTTCAAGAAAAAGTCTTCCGTCGATAACTCTTAATGAACTTTGGCTTCAGACTGCCAGATCACTTTAATGCCTTTTTTAGCAGAAGTGGCTGCCATTAAGGTAGCAGCAGATGTACTTCTCCGATGTGCAGCTACTTTCAGGGAATAGCAGAGTCGCAATACAGGCGTTGAGCTCACTGACAGTGCACTAAAATGATATGCAGAAGTGTATGAATCATTGGCAGCGGCATCAAGCTACTTCCATATTAGACTTAGTTGGATGCCTGCTGACAGCGGAATCGCTGGAAACTTTAAGGCCGATGAGCTTGTAAGAAAGGGCGCCCATATTTAAAAACCAACAGGTTGGTAAATAGCCGGTGTTCTCTTGTCCTCTTGAGTTCTGGCGGTGGATCTATGAACCTTACGCGAGCTTAGCAAATGTTAGTCAGCAAATGGCACATGTTCGGTTGCGAAATCTTTTTTGATCAAAGTGGAACGTAAGAGGTCTGTTAAATTACTTGCTCCTAGCAAGGTTCATCTTGTCGTAATTATGGGAAACACCCATAAAAAAAGATGAGATGGAAAACACCAGACATTTTTAAGTTTTCGCCAGACTAAGGTTGCAGCATCTGGGTTGTCATACCTTCTACGAACCAGGCAAACTAGCTGGAATTGATATTAAATTTATCAGCAAATTTGTGGCAGGCTCAGGACGTATTGTCGATATGGGATGGTCTTTTTGATCCATAGTACATAAATTGAGTTCTAGGAATGACAACGGACACATGCCACTAGCTTTCCAAGTGGGTTTATTCGTGGCAACACGAATATCAGCCTATTTACGTAACCTAACATATCATTCTCTGATCGCAGCATTTTTACCCCTAAATTATAAGCACTTCGGGCACATCATTAACGACATTTTGACTATATTTGACTTAAAAATAAATTAAATTAAAAGTTCGGCAGTAAAATTCACATACATACAAATATATATATATGTATAAAGTTTTAGCCTTGGACGTAAAACCTTGGGAATTATTGTTGAACTCTCATAGCTCACAAATTACTGGACCGTTTTGAGACATATTTGAACGACAACATACATAATACAAATCGAGCATCAATTCATAAGTCGAAAAGTATCTCAACAGGATATAATAAAATTCGTCCCTTCCATTAATATACCCGAGCATATATTGATCGAAATGTGAGATTTCTTAGAGTGGGATGAGAATTTTGCATGTATGTCATTAGTTCACACCGTTCACAAGTTCTCGTATAGAGTACTCCTATAACTTATTGCGATCTGCACAGTTAACTTTGGATTGGACGTCTCATATCTTAGTAATTCCTTCCTCTTTAATGGCATTGTTTTATAATATGCAAGAGCTTTCAAAAATAAATTTTTAAACAATTTTTTTCAAATTTCTAATTTTACAAAAAAATAAAGTAGTGGCCGAAGTAAAAGTATTTTACGCCAGAAAAATGTAAACAAGCAAACGCTTTTGGTGCGCAAAGATCTGCATATGTATATGCGATCACGCAAATGCCACCAATAACGATACAAATTATGCATTTACATGCTTTTGAGCTGCTTATGGTCTTTTCTCTTTAGAAGCGGATTCTATACAAATTAAAAGCTGACCATGCAACAATTTTTTTTTTTTATTGCGATTTTTGCGTTTTTTCGAGCCTTCCGGCGTCGACTGAGTGAATGATGACATGCGAACTAAGGATTTCATATTTTCGCCTGTTTTGTTTGCATTCGCACTTGAGTTCACCAAAAAAGCACAAAGCATGTTTTACAACAACAATAAAGATTGCGGATTTTACAAACTTTTGTCTCGCGTCATAAAAAATCAATAGTTAAAAATATGAATTATTTGTGGAGTTCAAGGACACATCGCAAGGCTTAGTTGGTTTTTGGCATAAATCCTTCGGAGCCGAATGCCAGGCATTTTTAATATTTGGCAGAGCTTTGTGGCACAAATTATTTTCGTAAATCATTTAATTTCACAGAAATACCGAAATTTGCGGCTGTTTTTGCTGTTGGTTAATAATGTAAGCGTTGAGTTCGAACATGTTACTCATACCCCATGGCGGATGGCGAAATAAGAATTTTGATAGAGAAAGTTTCAATTTTTTTAAAACAAATTTTCGTTTTCGGTGAAACATTGTTTTAATACATAATTTAATCTAACAAACAACAACTAAACAAAACAAAACTACAATAAAAACAATGAAAGGGTATTACTATACCAAATCAAATGTTACTCATACGCCATGGTGGATGGAGAATAATATTTTTATGAAGCAACTTTTTGTTTTCGGGAAAGCCAGTCATTTTCAAATTATTTATGCAATAAAAAATTGTTATTAAGGAACTTCAAAGTATATAACGGTTTTAGTGAAACAAAGCGAACTCAAAGTATAAACAGTAGGATATATTTCAGTTATAATAGGCTTCCACTAAAGTTAATTTTATACAAAAACAAGACAAGCTTTAACACCGACTGCACCGAAGCTATAAGACCCTTCACATGTTCATTTTTTATAACTTAAAAGCGTATAAAAAGCTCTTTATCTTGATTGTGATCGATCTGTTTGTATGGCAGCTATATGCTATAGTAGTCCGATCTGAACCATTTTTTCGGAGATTGTAGCGTTGCCTTGAGCAATATTATTTGTCAAATTTAATGAAAATATCTTGTCAAAAAATGCAAAAGTATAACAGAAATGCCAAAAGTTAAGAAAAGGTTGAGTGGGGAAATGTTGCTCATACGCTATGGTGGGAGAGAAATAAATATATTTTTAACACAATTTCCTATTTCTAATACCTTGGGGGGCATCTTTCGACGGATGCAACGATAAAAAAAACATTAACTTAATTTGTGAAACCATATAGAAAACCAATTGAATGAAACACTCACCTTAAAAATTCGGCATATATGGACTTGAACATAATTTGCATCAAACTTTTTAAACCCAAGCTATAACTTGACTTTCCACTTCTCTTCTTACTTTCGTATTCCATACAAATACAAATAAAGGTGTCATCAACCGCGGCGATTCGTTTCGGCGTCGACGTTCGCGCAGCAACAGTTTGGCACCGGTGAGCCCCATACACCCGCGCCTGGGTGGCGGTGGTGGCATTGGCGGCAGTGTTGGTGGTGGCATTAATGGCGATTACACGGGTGCACAGGATGAGCCGCAACAACAACAACCTGTCGAGGTGTTTCGCGTAGAAATGCTCGGCGCATCTGGCGTTGGCAAACAGGCGTTGATCCAGCAATTTCGGACGTCCGACTGCATTAATGCATACGATGGACCAGGTGAGTGCAAGCTGGTTAAAAAAAAAATAAATAAATAATGTAAATTAAGAAATTTATATTAGATTTAAGTAAATAGTATGACAAATAAAGAGTTTTAGTTGTTTCAAAAATCTCAGTTAATAAAGTCTGATAAGGGTATATAGGACAACTTCGTTGATAAAAAATAAGTAAGCGCTTAAAAGTTCTTTAAATGGTAGAAAGAATATCTACTGAGTCTAATACAAGTAACAACATGAAAAAGCGACAACTTCGACTGAGTCCAAGCTGTAATACCCTTCACAGGTGCAATTCTTATAGCATAAAAAGGTATGAAAACGTTTTTGCTCAATTTGGATCGATCAGTTTGTATCGTAGCTATATGCTACAATGACCCGACCTGAACAATTTTGCATGCTAAATTTTGTTAAGATAGCTTGTCATATAAAATACTTTTCCATATAAGAGCTCGATTTCCATTGGTCAGTAGCTATATGCTAGTGGGGGCCCACCTAAACGGTATATTTGGAGATCGTAGTATTGCCTTTCACAATAACACTTCTAAATTTTGTGTAGATATCTTGTCAAATAAAAAAAGTTTTCTATACAAGAACTTGATTTTGATCCATCAGTTTGTGTAACAGCTACATACGGGGGGTGTGTTCAAAGGAAAAGGTGAATTTTGAATTTTTTTGAAAAGTACTTAATTATTCATCAATATATATTTTGTCCCCCTCAAAGTAATCCCCTTCGGATATAATACAACCAACGCTTTTTCCAATTCTCTAAGCACTTCTGAAATGCCACTTTCGGTATGGCCATTAGCTATTTCTTCGATTTTGAGACTTGATCTCATCAATTGTGGCAAACTGCTTTATTTCATTGGTTTCTTCAGTTTTGGGAATAGGAAAAAGGAGGTAGAGTAAATTTATAGCTTAAAATATCAATAATCTTCGAAATAGTATTATATAAGCATTTTTTCACAATATTTAATAAGTTAACAACAAGAACAAAATACATAAATCCGCAATTGAAATTTCATTCCAGCTGGATTTTATTAAAACTAAACAAAATTTTTATTGCACTAAATGCTAATACACATGGTCACTGTTTGTGGCATCTGTGAATAACATAAATCAAAATAATTTTAATTAACACCTGACGCAAACGCATATTAGTGAATGTATCGTATATAATCAGGAATGAGTGACAGCTGCGAGTGAATGCCGCTTAAACACCACCATACAAGCCGCATAATGCACGCCGCACATATATTGCCGCACACAGTGTGCAGAGGATTCTCACTGCAACTGGAAATTGAATCAAATGTGTCCACACACACATATATATTTATATATATATGTGCGAATGCTGGCAATGAAAATAATTTGATTAAATTGTCACCATACGCGGTGTGGCTGACTGCCGCTGGTTGTGGTCATTAGCTAATAACGCACACCGCTGTTAAGCTATTATTTATTCATACAATATAATTGGGGCGTGCGTGGATGGGTATGCATGTGTGTGTGGATTTTTATTGTCTGAGGAGACGCGTTGACCACAATATGTTGAGTGGTTTGTGACGAACTCCTTTGTAATTCATAGATTGACTGTCATGCACTTACAAACACACATATATTCACCTACAATACTTTTATACATATACAGTATATATGGCATGTTAAAATGCATCTGCTTTATTTTCATGCAAATTACCTACCACAGCAATCAATTATCAATTACTCACCGCAGGATCATGGTTAAATTGGCAATGCTGCTGCAAGACATACATTGTACATAGAAGTATATATAGAATATACTACAAAAGAAGTGGTCCGTCTGAAACCAATTCAGGCATTACTCATTTTCATTACATCGTACACTGTTTTTGCTTGTATTATTGTTGTAGGTGGTCAGTAAATATAACATTTCCTTTATCAATCAACAGCGCATATCAATCACTACTTTACGGTCATTCGACTTATTTACACCCTTTGCCAACTTTGCTACTCATAACTTTTTGTTTTTTTTGGTCTAACAAAATTATCTCTCTTTCTCTTTGTTTAGTAATTTGCCAATTTTTAATACAAAATTTTTCTTTTATTTTCACTTTGCAGAATGCGACGTTGCGGAGGCAGAATATTTACATTAAATGGCATCGAATCGGAATTGAACTTCTCCACGGGCCAACAGGATAACAAGGTGAGTGTAATGGCGCAGGATGCTATTGTAAGAAGCTAATTGAGTGTAATATGAGCGACGAAAGCGCTTGTATAAAGAAATGGTGCAGAAACTGCAAGAACAAGCAGATTCTTGATTGCTTTTCATTTGACTGTCGAATGAGTTCAGTGTTTTGCTGAATTGACGCTAATTGATTGCGATTCGATGAATTCGACAGTGATTGGAAAGCGACTGCAATGAGAAGGTGGACACAATTGAGAGTGTGCAACAAGAGAGCGTGTATATAAAATAAACACCTGGAGGAACCTGGTACAACCATAATATTATTTTCTTAAAGGGAATTCATTTAAAGGGTTATATACATTTGCAAGTCAGACAAAACGCCTCCTTTCTTGTTGACTTTTTTTGTTTTTTTTTTTTTTTGAAGAGGCATTATATTTAATAAATTATTAAAAAAGTCACCTTTGCACAATTAAATGTAACTTGTTTAATAATCGGCGATGCGATCAGCGTTATGAGGTGAGTCGATTTAGTTATGTTTGTCTGTTTGTTTATGCAAACCAGTCCCTCAATTTTGAGATATCGATCCGAAATTTTGAACACGTGCCTTTCTCCTTATTTGTCGGAACCGGCGATATCGTACCACTTTAGCATATAGCTGCCATACAAAATGACCTATCAAAACCAAGTGTATTTGTATTTAGTGAGATATATTTAAGAAACTTGCCGTAAATTAGTCTTCGAAAAAATTTTTTAGATCGGACCACTATAGCAAATAACTGTCACGCAAACTAACCAATAAATGTAAACAAAGGTGTCATTGACCTCGGTAAAATGTAAACAGAAGGGTCATTGACCTCATAATGTAAACAAAAGTTGTTGAATTGGCTAAACGTAAACAAAGGTTGTGGACTTAGCTAAATGGAAACCAACCAATAACTTTATAAAATTTAAACAAAGGAGTCACTGACCTCCGAAAAATATAAAGAAATAAGTTGCTGACCTCATAATGTAAACAAAGGGGTCACTGATCGCATAAAATGGAAATAAAAGGATAATTGACCTCTTAAAGTGTAAACAAAGTCTCACATGTTCCTATTTTCCAAGAAACTGCTCACTACTCTGGACCGCCGATATCAGATATAGCTGCCATTAAAAGTGATATTTAAGTCTTTGTATGTATTTTTTATTATTATTTAAATCGAAATGAATAGCAAAAAAATTATTCCTTCAATCATTACCTATATAAAAGGAGGTCGTGTGAAGATTTCGTTCAAGCAAAATGAGTTTTAAGTTTTCGAAAGTGATTACATTAATAGATTTTCAAAAATACACACATACCTCCCAAACTCCAATTTTCGGAGAATATTTTCAAATATACCTATGTACATTTTATATATATTTTATGGAAAAAAGTTGATTTTTTTTTAATTCACAAAGCGGTATAAACCCTTATATATTCTGCTACAGCCTTCAACTAAGAGCTCTTGGCAACAATGGCTGTCAGTTAAATAGTAATGCAACCGAGTTCCCTAAGATATGCAGGTAATACTGCGAAAATATTTTCTTATAGTTACATAAGGTTATGAAATTGACCTATTCCTCATTACNCATTACTTCTGGCTATGCAATCAAATCAGCGCATATCAATCACTACTTTCACGGTCATTCGACTTATTTACACCTTTTGCCAACTTTGCACTTCATAACTTTTTTGTTTTTTTTTTTTTTTGGTCTAACAAAATTATCTCTTCTTTTTTCTTTTGTTTAGTAATTTGCCTAATTTTTTAATACAAAATTTTTCTTTTATTTTCACTTTGCAGAATGCGACGTTGCGGAGCAGAATATTTCAATAATTCTAAATGGCATCGAATCGGAATTGAACTTCTCCACGGGCCAACAGGATAACAAGGTGAGTGTAATGGCGCAGGATGC